GGAATAGCTGAAAAAGTCTTCAGCCTTTATGAACTAAAGAACTGGTAATTATTTCCCTGTTGGGATGTTTTCCCTTCCTCTTCCTGGTGTAAATGGGACTGTGCAGCTACTCAAAAGCATGAACAGTTCAGCAGTTGTTATTGCTCAATGCTGATGATTTGCTTAAGTGTTCCCTGGTCAGAGGACTCTTTGTGTCTTGAAAATCCCTGGTGAAGTGGAAATGTGGATGGAATCCACAATTCCCTGAGCCACTCCCCAAGATTTTTCTGCAGCACTTCTACATGGACACATGGGCACTGCCAAGCAAAGACGTATATTAGGGTTTCTTGTGTTGCTCTAATATGTAGAGTCCAAGATGCAAATAGAGAAGTGTTCCAAGGTAAAATAGCTCTACCTGTCTGCTTCTGTGCAAGAGAAGTTCCCCCTCCCCAAGGCACATACCACCTCCTTCTCCCAGGACGTGTTGCAGATGACATCCTCTTAGCAGCAGCTGGAAGTCATGTGGCATGACTTAGGGAAACAACCTGCTGTGATGTTTCAGACCCAAGCTGCTTGTTGTCTGCACTGTCTACCCTGGAGAAGCTTCCTCCTTAGGCAGGGAAACTGAGGCATGGAGAGAAGGAAAGGAACAGGACAAGCTGTTCTTGAGCTTTGTCTTTACCAGCTGTTTGGATGCCCCTGTGTTGAGTTGCTTTGTTGGGATGGCTGAAGCGCAACATGGATTACATCTTCCAAATCCCAAAAGCACAAGGTGTTGAGACTCCCTCAGCCTTTGATATAGTCAGGCCCAGAGCATGATTTCAAACAGCAAAGCAAGCTCTGACAGCTGCTGAGGAAGCCTACCTCAGTCCCCTATAAACTGTAAATAAACTGGTTCATATGGAGCTTCCCCTCAAATCCCTCTGACTCACTGGGGATTCATTTTTGGGACAGAAAAGGCAGACATATAGGGGAAAACAACAAGTTTATGATGTTCTAGGGAGACTGAGGAACACCCTTGTTAGAAAACCCAGTTTAGGCCATAAGGTGGGCAGGTACTTCACTACAGGACTGGGAAACTGATCTGTGGGAATAATACAGCTGAGCAAAACTAGCCAAACTAAACACCTCTGTTGGGCTTGCTGAGGTGCAGGGGTACAGCAGAGCCCATCAGTAGGGAGCAAATGATTGCCAGATGGCTGGCACTTATTTCCTTTTCATTAGTCAAACATAGGACTGTAGAGATTTTTACCAGAAAGCGGAACTGGTGTGAGAGGTTTGCCAGTTGAATTATTGTGTCCCTGCAATAAGTCAATACCAGTAGGTTTCCTGGACATGACTGGATCTTCCACCATTCACCATGGATACTGTGAGTGTCCTAGCTTCTGGGGAAGATGAGGGCTGATAGTTTGTATATCTCCTCAATAAATAAGCATTTAAAGAAAAAAAAGGAAACAAACAGCCTCTCTTCTGGTGTTTGATTTTGGTTTTTTTTTAATAAACTATCAGTTGGAAAACAACAGTGCTCCAGGTGAGCAGTACCAGATCCAAATGTGTACAAGTGGTAACCAAATGGGTTTATCTGGGGATTTTCACAGAATCACAAAATGGTTTGGGTTGCAAGAGACCGAGATCATCTGTTTCCAATCAGAACACCAGGACACCAGGATTGAATAAAGCCAGATCTTCACAGTGACAAATCAGCCTTCATCCATTTCTACCTGAACCCATTCAAAGGGCTCCCAGATAATAACAAAATGCTTAAAATCCAAATTGCCCCACTTTGTACTGCATGGATTTTATGCAGAAGCCACAACTGTAAGCATTCATTGAGCAGTCTCTGTCAGCAAGTGAAAAGGATGCCCACAAGGTCTGGTCTTGCCTTCAGGTCTGTGCACTAAGTTGAACAGGATCAAGCTGAAATCAATGGAGATATATCAAAGTAAAAGTTATGTTATTGAAGAGACATCCAAGTTCTGGGGACTTTTAAAAGAGAAATCTTCTGGTCTTGCACCATGGGTGAGGTAAGACTTGTCGTGAGACAATTGCTGTCCTATTTCTAGCTATGTACATTGCTTCCATGGAATTCAGGAGGAATTTGGCAGAGGATCACCTCATTGACTACCTGTGTGTATCATCTCAGCATCAGTTCTGTCTCCAGCATTCAGCATGGCCTCTTGGGGAGACGGAGACAGGCTGTGGTGGAGAGCACTTGAGCAAGAGTGAGCATTTCGTGCTTCAGTGGGATCTGTGGAGCTACTTGGCACTCAGCATATTCTAGTGTGGTGGGAATGAGAGGGTCTTTGGCGCCAGAGCAAACGTCTGCTCCAATTTTACTGCACTGGGATGTTTACTTGTCCTTTGAGAACATGATAGTTCCCATGAGAACTTCTTGGAGAATCCCAGGCTGCAGAGACCCTGGTGTCCCCACAAACAGTGAGGACATAAAAAAGACCACGGTGAAAACTGAGAAAGCAACAGGATACTCAGTATCACATACTTCTACACATGCTTAATCTGTTCAGTTTTGACTGGCAGCCTAAATGGGGAATGAGTAAATACATACCACCACTTTAGTTACCTCTCATCCCATCCAGAGCCAAAGTGATGCAGCCAGGTAGCACCACGTGGGTTATCAAGCTGAACTGTCTGTAATCAAGACACACTTGGAGCCATTTCCTCCACCTCCTGACCCAAAACACAGTCTTCCTCTTCAAAGTGATTTCTAATGCTGGAACAAAGCAAAGGTGACAGATCTCCATCAAAGCACCATCTGCAGATCTTCTGAACAAGATCATAAAAAGATCTGTGATCTCAGTAAGCTTTAAGGTCCCTTCTAACCCAAACTATTCCATGATTCTATGATATCATCCCCAAGAAAGGTGCCTGGTGCAACAGCATAAGGTCACAGATACCAACAGAACTTAACCATCCTTTATCTGAGGTTTCTCCTTCAACTAGACAAGTGTTTTAATCTGCCTGTGTCACCTCACTTCCTGAACTAAAACAAAACAAAACACACAAGAAACCCACAAAACCCCCACAAAACAAACAAACAAAAAAGAGAACATGAAAACATCCACTCTCTCCTGGGTTTTGTCCTTCTTTACTTTCTGATTGGGAATAAAGAACCAAAGAGGATGTCAGTATCACTCCTTTTTGGTGGTCACTGGAGTGTGACAGGGGATGACCCAGAGTGTACCTTCCTATACAAAAAGTCAAGGAAAACTGGAGCAGTTTCCCAAGGTTTCAAAACTCAGATATAGTAACGTTAGAACTGTTCCCCTAAGTGTACTAAATTTCTGTAAAAGACAGGTGAAATAGCTACAGTATTTCAGCCTAATTTTAGAGATGGAGAAACTGAGGCAAAGTTTGGATCTAAACAAAATCCCACAAGCAAGATATATCAGATGCACACCCTCATCCTTCTGTTCCCCCAAGGCATGCTTTGAAACAGTTGTGGACTCATTTAATCTGAATTATGACATCAGGAGAAATTGGTTTGACTTCTAAGTGACACATATTTGAAATAGCAAAACAAAAGGATCACAAAATATGTAATGACCGATGCAGACTGAACTCCTTTTCACACCACAATTATTTTTTTTTTTTTGTTAATTACTATTTTCTTAAAAACCTCCTAATTCTGAGAGTGTGTCACCCCAACATTTTAACCTGGAATGCCCAAGCTGCTGTCTGCAAGGTGTTAGTGATAAATAGCCAGGAACAGTGGCTAAGTCTGTGTAATTCAACCAGGCCAAGGACACTTCTCCAGCCCTGAGGGCACCAAGCTGGCTTGCATCCATACAGCTAAACTCTATTCAGGATGGCAGCATCCAGCTCTGCCCTGGGACTCATCCCTAGTTCCAGATCTGGCACAGGCTAAAAATTTTAGCATGAGTGTTGAGAAAATTCTGCTCTGCTGTGCAGGAACATCACTAGGTT